AACTTATGGAAAGCAGGCTCAGATGGCTAGGGTACTACATGGAAGATTGGAGAGAACCAAAGTCCTAAGTGTATATAATATAGGCTATAAAATTTGCTAAGGGCAATGGGAAGGGCATATCAATGAGGCGGCGGGCATTGGATCGGCAGATAAGTTGTGGGGGAAACTAAAAAATGGCGGAAAATTGGAAGCACTGAACGTTAGGTCGAGATTCTAGATCTATAGATAGAACGAACGAACATTTTTTCATATTCGGACTCGAGTCCGAATATTAATTTTTTTTATTCGGACTCGAGTCCGAATATGAAAAAATGTTATTCGGACTCGAGTACGAATAACGACAGCCTTCAGACAAAACCAAGACTCCAAGAGGTGCCTTACTGACTTGCATGTATTTGAACCTGAATAATTCTAGATCTAGATATCTAGATCTAATGAGACCTGTATACTTAACAGGCTAGAGTCGATAGGGCCAAACCTAGATCTAGATCAGATCTAAGTACGGCTAGACTGTAGCCGTACTTAAGTACGGCTAGCCACTTCGCTCAAGATTCTAGATCTAGAGTCTAGATCTAGATTCTAGATCTAGATCTAGAACTTCTTTCCAAATGCTTACTTTAACTGAGAAAGAAATTTTAAAACAACAAGATCTAGAACTTCTTTCCAAATGCTTACTTTAACTGAGAAAGAAATTTTTTTTAAAACAACAATAGAGAGTTTAAGGTTGCTGCCACACGGGCCAAAAAGTGGAATGTGTAAGTTACTATAAATAACTCACAGGGCACGAGTTCCAACATTATGTTAGCCCACAGAATTCTACACTTAAATAACTCACAGGGCACGAGTTCCAACATTATGTTAGCCCACAGAATTCTACACTTAGTGTAGAATTCTGTGTGTTAGCCTAATTAAAAAACGTAGTTTTTATTCAGACTGAAACTGAATAATCTTAGATTTTAATTTACTTTTGTGTTTTAACATCATTTTTTAACTTTGTTTTGGTCAATTTGATTGTCCACACCGATAGACATTCAGAAAGAGACAGAGAGAGAGAGAAGAGGGGAGGAGTAGATCTTGCGAGAACTTCCGGGCGGGTGAGAATAGCCACTAGCCACTTTCTAAATATATACATATTATATCTAAGTCTAGATCTAGATCTAGTGCTTGAAGTGAATCAAGATAAATCAACCTAAATCTAACTTACAAGTTCAGCGTAAACCAACAGAACGGCAGCGTTCAACCTAAATCTAACTTACAAGTTCAGCGTAAACCAACAGAACGGCAGCGTTCGAGTTCCCAGGTCGATCTCCAGATCTATCCTAAACCAAGGAATTCTACACTTAGTACTTAGTGTAGAATTCTGTGCCCTAAACTGATTGTGACAAGACAACACAACAAGATCGGATCGACCGGATGCCGGATGCTGAGAGTTTATAAATAGCATCGGAAATTCACGTGTAATATTTTGATTTATTGGAAATTTCCGTTAACCCTTTTCTGGAACAAAGCGTCAGAATCAATACTATAGCCTTGTTAACGCATTACAGAAATGCATAAAGAGGACTCAGGTTTTCTTGAACAGGTGTCTTAGAAAGTTACTGAGGATCAGAAGGACAGACAAGGTCACCAATGTGGAAGTGTTTTAAAAGGAAAACAGACAGATGAAGGGCGGTGGCGATGGAGTGGACATAATAATAATATAGTCTCAAGAAGTCAGGCAGCTGCATACAATTAATTACATGTATTTAAGTTTTGGATTGGAACCCACGGGGTAAGAGATCAGAGGGAAGCCGGGTGGAACCTGGAGAAGAATCACATAAATCGATGAACAGAAAAGTGGGAAGACATGGAATAACATCAAGAGGCTAGCCCAGAATAGAGAAAGGTGGAAGGTGTTTGTCGCCGTGGCCTATCCCTGGTGCATGGTGAGAAAGGCAATGATGAAAATAGCCTAGTTGGAGCAAAATGAAACATTCCGTGACCGTGTAGCGCGAAAGTTGCGTTCTTTGGCTTTTTGGAGACTTAATGAGTTACAAAAGAATTTAACTTCAATGCCTCTTTGAGGAGGATGGGCGATGTGCGTCATGTAAACTTTGTACGTACCGTTTTAACATGCAAAAATAGTCCAGGTAACTCATGGCGGTGTACCTTCGCTTGTGGACAATCTCTTATCGCGTTTGTCACAATTCCAAAATCATGACATTATCACCCTAAGTTTTGTCATTATTTGAAACGGTTTGAACTGCACCCGTCCGCTTCGCTTGTGGCGTACACATAAACAGGTTGGATGCATGGCAGTAGATCTAGATCTAGAATTTATCATACAGAAAGAGGTAAAAGAAAATAAATTTATAAAGGAACCGCAAAAAAAATGGTCTATAACACAGCTGGATTTCCCGGGCCCATTTCGGTGCAATGTGATCAAGATATAGATCTATTATGGAGCCACAAAATTCTAGTCTACACTTTTATAAAAGTGTAGAATTCTGTGCAAGGAGCTTAAAACAAATGGAGCCTCCACCCGCTTTCTCTCTCTCTTCGCGGCGCCCGCCACGAGCGGCACGCTGAGGTGGGGAGTAAATATGGCCGCCGACTATGATCTAAACTCGCGAACTGCGGTTTTTCTTTTTATAGAATGTTATAGGGCTGGGCCACATTGTTGGGGTGGGCAGGGTGGGGGAATGCAGGCAATGAAGAGGGGA